GGGAAGCGGGGGAGGGCCCCCTGTGGGAGCCGAGACCGCCAAGCTGGGACGCAGCGGAGACCCGGGGCAGGGTGCGATGTGCAGAGAAATGAGCAAGGGCAAAGGGCTCAGCGGGGACGCACCTGCCCTGGCTAGAGCGGAGTTGAGAGAGGTGGGAGGGAGGCCAGGTCAGGTACAGCCTTGAAGGCTGCAGTGAGGAGCGGACACTCCTCTCAGCAGGTCTAAGTTAGGACTGGGAGGGAAGTGATCGCCTGGATGCTCGTGGAGCCTGAGCGGCTGTCCCAGCGCAAGGATGGAAGTAGGCGAGCGAGTTGGAGGCCTGTTGCAGAAGTCCAGGTTAAAAACGACAACGTCTTGGACTAGGTCGTTGGCAAAGACGAGGACGAGCGAGACAGAATTTAGAAGCAGAGCTCATGGACTTGATTGGAAGCAGATGATGGCAGGAAAAGAGATGGAAGGTGGCTAATCATGGGAGGCCAGAAAGTGGGAGGCTAGGGGAGGGACAGTGTTGGGGGAGTGGACACTTGTGTGTTGGCTGGCGTGAGTTGGTAATGCCCAGCTGACATCTAAGTGGAGACGCTGAGCAGACAGGAGAGTATGAGGGAGAGGACAGGCCAGAGATGGACTGTGAATCCAGGGCAAACAGATGGAAGAAGCCAGGGGAACTGATGGGATCACTGGGGGCAGGAGTACTAACAGGAAAGGGCTGAGGACAGAGCCTGGGACATACCTACGTCTGGAAGTTTAGAGAGAGGAGCACCTAGTAAAGGAGACAGAGGGCGGTGTGAGGTAGGAAGACCATCGGGGTGTGGGGTTCTTGAGGTTGAGAGAAGAGAGTGTTTCAGGATGGTGGGAGTGATAATCCATAAGGAATGCTAACCTGCACAGTTGCCTAAATTGAGACTAGAGATGTGACGGCTGGATTTGGAACCATGCGCACCATTGGAGATCTTGATGAGAGCTGTTTCTGTCGAGGGGTGGGAACAACAGCCAGAGTGGAGAGGGGAGGAGAGGCGAGGAGTGGAGCCACTGAGTGTCAATGATGCTTTCAAGGAATTTTGCTTTAGAGCACAGAAATGAGGCTAACAGGGCACCTGGGGTTCAGATGGGAGAGGTACAGCTTGTTTGTAGGCAGAGGAGAATGATCTAGAAGGATAGAGAGATCCAGGATGCAGTGGAGAGAGAGCAGTCACCAATAAGATGAGAGGACAGCTCCTGGTGCCCGCGTGGAGGCTGGCCCCACACTGTGCCATGAGAGGGGCAGAATGATGGCCCCCAAAAATGTCCACGTCATAACCCCAGAACCTAGGAATCTGTGCCCTTACATGGCAAAGGAGGCTTTGCAGATGTGACAATGACCTTTAGATGGGGAGTTTGTCCTGGATTATCTAGGTGGGCCCAACGTAATCACAAGGGTCCTTAAAAGTGGAAAGAAAAGGGATGCAGAAGAGGGAGGCAGGAGGTGTGACAATGGTAGAAGGGTCAGATAGATACAAGGTTGCTGGCTTTGAAGACAGAGGAAGGGGGCCATGAGTCAAGGAATGTGGGTGGTCTCTAGAAGCTGCAAAAGCAAGGAAACAGATTCACCCCAGAGCCTCCAGAAAGGGATGCAGCTCTGCCAACAACTTGCGTTTAGCCTAATGAGACCAGTGTTGGCTCTGCCGTGCAGGAACTGCTGCCAGCTGACCAGGTGCTATTGCGGGCCTGACCCAGGTACCCATCCTGCCCCCTCCTTCCCTGAGGTTTCTGACCTCCCAGACCCAGCTGGACCTCAACTCCATGCTGCCTGGGGCCATGGCACTTTCACTCCAAGCAACGGACTGGGTGGGTCTCCTCCCAGGGGGAAGCTCCCTCTTCATTCGAGAAATGTGACAGCACAAATGGCCGACGTCTGCAGCACACCCATGGGTCCTAACCCAGGTCTTTGAAAGAAACTCTCAAACTGAACGACTAGCAATTAGGCCTTAGTTTTTATCATTTCTGGAAGCTTGTGACCAAGAGAATGGCACAGGGACAGCCACTGCCCTATGCTTAGTTACTCTGGGGACAAAACCTGCAGCTATGGAGCCGCCTCCGGGGCTCCCACAATTCCTGGGGGGAGTAGGAGTAGGACGTGGAAAGCCCTTCTGGAACCGCCCACTGTCCCCACCACCACGACACCACTCTCTGCTGAAAGAGGGGGGGAAGTTTTAAAAACACAATCACAGATAGAGGAAATCTGTGTTAGACACAGGAAATCACGTTCTTAGTCCGGCATTTACACATCTGACACATTAATGATACCGCACCATTCAGGAAAACTTCAGAAGGGTAACTAACTCACCAAAATCCTTTATTTAATAAAACTGGAACATTTGACGGCAACCTAACAAACTCAAGTGTGCTAAAAAAAAAAAAAAAAAAGCAAGACATTCAGCCTCCTCCGCCTCCTCCGTGAAGCGCAAGTTCAAGCTTCGGCAGGGGCCAGGGGTGCTAGCACCTCTTGGCTCCCTGTGCCCAGCACCATCCTGGTGGTCACCTCTGCCCCCAGGCCCCCCTAGTGCCTGACCAGAGGCTGGGACAGGTGAAGCTGGACAGCCCTGGGAGCTCTACAAGTCCTCCTCCTGCCCGTAGCTCCCTCCCTCCACCCGCCGTGAGCTGTAGGCTCCATAAAAGTGACTCTCTCAAGGAACAGGGCCAGGGGCCTGGCCAGGCTGGTCATGGGGCTGCCCTGCTGGGGGAGGTAGGAAGGCAGACCTGGAGGCATCCAGGGCTCGCTGCTCCGCTCCATCCCGATCTCTGGGAGAGGATGGAGTAGATGTGGGAAGGCCAGGCCGACCCCAGGAAGCCCCGAGTGGGCGGCGGTCACCAAGGCCTCCAGACACTGTGGGCTATGCGGGCTGCAGTCAGGCTGCCCAGGGCCGCGGACACCAAGTCCGGCCCTTCCGCAGGCGCCCTGCTCAGTTCAGCCTCGGGAGCCTCCTCCAGGTCGGAGTACAGGTCCTCCCCGGAGGGGGATCCCGAGGCCCCTCCCGCCGGCCGGCTGCTTCGCCCAGGGGCTCCCGGTGGCCCGGCCAGCGCATCCCCCAGTAGATCCCGGAAGCTGCCGCCGTCGCGCAGCGGCATGGACTCCAGCAGGTGGTTGAGGAGCTCAGCGGCGACCGTGGCGTCGATGGCCTGGCACGTGGACACGAACGTATGCACCTCGTGCATGCACTGGATGTAGCCAGCGGCGAAGCGCTCGCTCGCCTCGGCCTGCAGCTGCTCGCGCTCTGCGCCCGGGGTGGGAGGAAGAGAGCCGCACCGCCATAAGCGCGGGCAGGGGCTCACCCCGAGAGCCCCCTCGCCGCCGCCGAGCCGGGGCCGGGGATGCCGGGACGGACGCGGCCCGAG